ATGAATTAAAATGCAATGTAAAGAAGACCACAATCCTCACCGCTGGACCAATCGGTAGCACCACGATAATGGAGAAAAGGATGAAGCTGTCAAACATTTTGTCTTATTTGGATGCATAATCAATGCTCATGGAAGCAGAAGTCAAGAGATCAAAAGACGTATTGTACTAGGTAGACCTGCCGCACAAGACCTCTCTTGAGTATTGAAGAGCAAGGACGTTACTTTGAGGACTAAGGTGTGCTTGACCCAAGCCATGGTCTTCTCAACTGCATTCTATGCATGTGAAAGTGAGACTTTGAACAAGGAAGACCATATAGAAGAATCGATCCATTTGAAAGGTGGTGCTGGGGAAGACTATTGAAAGTACCATGGGCTGCTAAAAGGACAGATTGATCTGTGTTGGACGAAGGCCAGAGTGCTCCTGAGAGGCAAGGATAGCAAGATGTCATCTTACATACTGTGGACGTGTGGTCAGGAGAGACCACTCCACGGAGAAGGACATCATGCTTGGTACAGTGGAGGGGGAGACCCTCGAGGCGATAAGGATTGACACCGTGGCTTTATCCATGGGTTCAAGCATGGGGACAATTGGGAGGATGGCACAGGGCGCGTGTGGGGTTTCCTTCTGCTGTTCACAGGGTCACTATGCCAACTCGATGGCACCTAACAATAGCAACGGCAATGCTCTTAGAAGAAAGTGGGTGAGGTCGTCCCCTAAGGGGGGTGGAAGTGGGAGTGGGGTGGGGGGTGTCTGAAGAGACTGGGAGGGGTTTGAAAATAGCGGGCAGAAACCAGGAGGAAGTGGCCCTTTTGAGAAACCTCAGAAGAGCTACAAGGGAAACTACGTAGAAGAGCTGGAAGTAAGCTGAGGTTGGAGGCCATGCGTGAATGAGGACTCATGTCTTCATAGCCAAGCGGTGTTCAGCCAGCTCTTCTCAGAAACACCCATCGGAGAAAGAAAAGAACGAGGCGAATTCGATTCATAGATTGGTCCAAAGCTGGGGCTTGTGGGTTAAGAGAGGTGTGGGAAATAAGCGAGGGATAGATGAACTGGACCTCAGCCCAACGGAAGGGCTGATAGGCAGACGCTGGCGGGCTTAAGGAAGGAGACCGGCGCATACAGGGATAAGGGGTATGAAAGGAATAGAGGTTTTAATCAGGGAAATGTGTGTGCACAAGGCTGTTACAGAGTTCAGACGTGGTTCAATGCAAACAAAGCCGAAAGTCTGGCTGTGGCTGTGGGTGAAATGAAGCTGGGGAGTTTCATGCGCTAAGGGTTGGGCCCAGGATGGAGGTCCAACTGGGTGACGAGGTGACAGGATCATGGAGAAAACCGGGGTGGAGTGGGGACGAGTGGATTAAGGGCGCAATCAAGTCGGCCGTGGGTGGCAGAGACGAGGCAGAGCAGAGGCTGAAACAGTGGACAGCGGCGCCGCCAGGCAGAGGGTGGGACCGGTTCACCCACACACGGGTAGCGTTTCCCGCCCTGATGCTGCCGGTACTGGGATCGTCAAGATGTCTTTCCTTTTGCCTCACCTTCAGACTCCTCCTTAGCCGTTCCAGGCATTTCAGGAATCTCAGAGCCTGTGCGCCGGTGGGCAGAAGGCTGGGATCAGGTCTTAATAAAAGAACACTATACATGAAGGCCGTACACTGATCTGGAAATTAGGGTCACCGTGAACTCGCAAGACCGCGTTTCCCTCTGGAGGCCCCCGCCTGCGCGCGCTCCCTCCGTCGACCCATAAAAGGTGCCATGAAAGTATCCACGCTTGAACCTTAACTCACTCTCGTGTCTGGGACTGAGCCACGAATCGCAGCGTCGCCCGCCCCACGGAGTCCCCAGGCGAGACTGCAAATAGCCCAGTGGTGGGAGGCGGGAAAGCACCAGGAGGACAGAGCGCTGCTGGCCCCAGAGCTGGTCCTGCCCCCCAGGGGCAGTTTCTCAGGGCACGGAGTCCTCCTTCCCTGGCACGGTGGGGGCGGAGAGGGCCCGCTGGAACGGCACAGCCCCAGTTCCCACCCTCGCCGCCCCCCCACAGCACCCCGGGGTCTCCCTTTCTGCTTGGTCGCCAGTTTGGAGTTAAATGTAACGGGGAGTCGCATTCCTCTGGGCTCTGGTGGGCGCTGAGTTTTTTTCCTTCCTCTTCCTCGTTTCCTCCTTTCGCGTTTCTATTTTGATCGGCACGCATTCTTTCTTGGACGCCGCCTCAAACCTATCTGGGGCATTAAAAAGTCAGCCGGGAGGTCAGGCGAAGTCAGCCAGCCCCAGGCGCCCAGGGCGGATGGAAGAGAAGTTCAGACACAGATGTCAGCGTTTCCAAGTCCCTCTTCTGCGTTCCCCTTCTTCCCAACCACCCTCCTGACGCCCCTCCCACGGCCCACGGCCGTTGCCCATTAAATTATTCTCTCCGTTTCCTTCTCTCAGGCCCCATACATACACAGAGGACCTCCAGCCTGTTGGGGGTTAAGCATGTCCTCATGTCCATCCCCTCAAGGCCAGACTGGGTGGCGCCAACGTGTCCTCACCACTAGGGTTGCCTGCGCTGGGCTGTCCCGTCTCAGTGCAGTCAGCTTCCTCAAGTGGCCCGGCACTGAGAGCTGGTGTTGCCTGAAAAACTCCCCACTGCCTTCAACGCCAGCACCCCTGGGGCCCCGTGCTCCTGGTACCAACGTCCCACCAAGACCCATGCCACCCACAACTGGCATCACTCCCTCCGTGGGTCCCTTGTCCCAAACTCGATCCTCACAGGACCCCATTCCCCATCCAGAGCACACACCCAAACCACAACTCACTGCATCGAATCAAGGCCAGGGTGGGACTGGCCTGGGGGATTCTGAGACCATGTCACTCTTCACGGGGGTAGAAAGATCTGTCTCTCTCC